CCCCAAAACCCCAAAACCCCTTGAGTTAACTATTGAATCATAATTTGAAATTATTTAATTAATCATTTTATTGGTTGTCTCTAGGAAAGTGCAATGAATTCAGTCCACAATTCTAGTTGAATTACATATGTTCTACAGATTAGAACTTGAGTAAAAGTAAACTGCCTTTGTTGCGATAACTTTCATCATATCATAAGGAAATTAGTTCAGTCACTTCATTTTACATTCCTTTTTGAGGTTTAAGTCAATTGGGTTCTCTGATTACTAAAGTTGATGGTACGAATCTCAGCCCATCCAAAAGTTTAGTAATCACTAAAATATCTAGTCCTAGTAGGGTTAGAGCCTATGCTTAAGTCTTAATCTCATAAACAGCATTTAAATCGAATCGTTTCCATTAAACAAGCATATTATTTTTTCCTTCCTAGTTCTTGTAATTAAATGCTATGCTTCCAAAAAAGTAGGTCCTGTACAGAAATAAGTGATAGCTGTTGTCCTGAACATGCATTTGCTTTGATAAGCTGGTCTTTATTCTTCAATCAAAGAGAATGCAACCTGTATATGCTGAAGATAATTCACTACAATGGGCGCTCCTTTTAAGCTGCAAATACACCATTTAAGAGAAATTTATCATCTTAATATTCTATGTAACTTATCTTAGCCCATTCGTCCAAATAAAAATCATTGTCAAAATAAAAGCCTCCAAACTCAGCTACAGCCATAGCTCTTATCAAATGAGTTGCAGCTACCACAACTTAAAAATCCTCCTTATAAATCAATTTGTTCCGTGGATTTTGTGTCATATAACTATGATTCTGATATTTCTCTTACAATTACTCCATTTTCTTCAAGTATTTGAGTTGTTCTGGGTAAAAATCATTTTGTTTATAACCCAGCAATAATAAGTTTACTATAAATCTTCTTATGACTTTATATCTTCATATTTCGAAGCAGAGTCATCAAGATATCTATATGTTTAATTCAATTTTTCTTGCAGGTCTCTACTAAGATAAGCACTATTTCAAATGGATATATTATACTAGTAAGATATATTCTATCAGTTACTAAGGGAATCCGAGGTTTACTGATCTTTTATAGGCTATATCATGGTAAATTTAAGGATCTTGTATATTTTTAAGTGAATTATGGTATTTTAACAATCATTTTTCAGTATTGTTACTCTTTTTCATAGCATTTTAATAGATTTCTCTTTAAAGCATCATTAAATTTTCAAAAAATGTGTTTTTTGGGTAATAACAAAAGCCAAGCATATTAATCAAGGCATACAAACTCTTTCTCCTATAGCCATTCTACTTATTGTAGGGATAGATTCATAAAAAAATGCTTGATATATTAATTGTAACACTAAAATTGTAATGATGGAAAGTAGCATGTATAAATTCACTGGTAAGTATAATTAACATAATTGATTTTAGATTTATATTTATCGAAATATAGCAATTTTAAACCTACATGGGGTTTTGGGGTTTTGGGG